ATAAAGTGATACGATTTTGTACAATCAATGATTTAAGTATTGCTCAAACCTTACCAGATGAACTACACAAGCATTAGATTCCCTGCCTACATCGATGGAAAGAGATAGTGAAGAAATTCATCATTAACAGTCAAAACTAGGTCAAGGAGTGTAGAATGGAATAAATGTGCCTATTTATTTATCTATCTTTTAAATGGACATTTATATTATTTATCAATTGTTATTTTTATACTGCTTTTCTCACAGGTTTTCAAATGTTAACAAAGCCAACTTTACCAAAGGGTAAGCATCCACCTGCACTTTCATCAGTAGCATATACGTTTACAAATTTAAAGTCTCAGCATTCTCTGATAGAAGATTGTCATAGTTCTATGTGATATTAGAGCAAGTTGCAAAGTAATGAAAAAAATAAATGGAATTATATTATTTTCCCGATGGATATAATGCCAAAATTATTTAAAATAATTATATTTAGAGGAAATAGAAATCTGAAAACTTATCACCTTTTGTTCAAATACAACCTGGTATTAATTGTTGTTGCTGTGTACCATTGAGTTCAAACTGACCCATAGCTGACCCTCCAGTGGGTTTTCAGAGACATTTAACTGAAAGGGAGGAATTTGCCCATTCTTCTTCCTCAGAGCAACTGGTGGATTCAAACTGCATGCCATCTCGATTGCCGTTGTTGTTGCTGTTATGTGCCATCGAGTCACTTGCAACTCATAGTGACCCTATGTACAACAGCCCTAAAGCCTGCTCTGTCCTGTGCCAGTCTCATTGTCTCTGACACATCCACCTCAATTACCCCACTTAATCAATTCACCTCATAAAGGGTCTTCCCCTCCTGCACTGTCCCTCCACCCTCCCAAGCATGATGTCCCTCTCTAAGTACTAGTCCCGCCTTGCAACATCTCCAAAGTATGTCAGAAGAAGCTTCAGAATTCTTGCCTCCAAGAAGCAGCCTGGTTTAACCCACTCCAGTGTGAACCTGTCCATTTTCTTAGCAGTCCATGGTACAGTCAATACTCTTCTTCAACACCACAGCTCAAAGGCATCAATTCTCCTTCTATCTTCCCTAGTCATTGTCTGATGCATAACAAGTGATTTCAAAGGCGATGGCCTGTATCAAAGGCACCATAGTCCTCAGAGTGACACCATTGTTCTTCAGTACTTTGGAGAGGTTCCTAACAGGAGACTTTCCCATGGCAATGTGCCTTTTAATTTCCTGGCTGCTGGTGCCAAGAGTGTTGACTGTGGAACAAGCAAAATAAAACTGTTTACTATCTCAATCTCCTCACCATTCATCCTGATGCTGCCAATTGGCCCAGTGGTGAGAATTTTTGTTTTCTTGATATTGAGCCTTAATCCATATTGAAGGCTGCAGTCTTTGAACCTCTGCAGAAAGTGCTTCAGTTCCTCCTGCGTTTCAGCAAGCAGGGTTATGTCATCTGCATAATGCAGATTGTTGATGGATCTTCCACCAAACCTGATGCCACAATTTTCCTCATAGAGCCCAGCCTCCCAGATAATCTGTTCTGCATATAGGGTTGAAAAGGAATGGAGACAGGACACATCCCTGGCATACACCCTTCCCAATTTTGAACCATGCAGTGTTTCCTTGTTCTGTTCTAGCCACTAGGCCGCTGTAATTCACAAAGTAGAGCTTCAAAACTAACCACTATTGAACATCTCATCAATAATGATTTAGTTACTGTTCTATGAGAAGGATTATCAGTCTCCTCTGATCTATTAACTGTCTTTGGAAACCCACTGGAGGGTCAGCTATGGGGGTATACCATCACAACAACAACAGTATTGCTATAACATTTCAAATCTTTAATTCTTTAAGAATCCCCAAAACTGGGACTTTAGCAAATTTTTCCCCCTGAACGTATATTTAACTTTCAGTTGTCAATAATTATGTTGGCCAGGTTAAATGGAGATGTTTTACAATAAATAGTCCATTTTAAATGTTATTTAATGAATGTGTGTGTATATGTTTTGTTATTTCAATTTATTCATTAGAGGTAAAATAAAAATAATTTATTTTTGGCAAATATTTTTTAATCAACACAAAAACATAGCCAAGAGTTTAATGTTTCTTTTAATAAAGGCTTAGAAACAAATTTGACACAATTACACTGAAATGACATTTATTTTTTAATGAGAAACGAGATCAAATTTTTTAAACAGGAAAATATTTCATTTTTGGTTTTCTACATTGAATCAATAATGGGAGGAACTGAAAATGTATATGACTTCCTCATAAACTTCAGACATATTTCAATTTGATATTGAAACAAAATTGATAAAATAAATTCAACAGAATATTTTTAAGTGGCATGGATTATTCCTTTTTTTCCACTTTTAAAATAGCATACTGTAAATAATCTTCACAAAAGTGTTCAATACTTAAATTCTATGCAATGGAGAGGATAAGTAATCTTAAAAAACAGAGCATACTTATGCGATTTTATAAATTTTGTCCACCAACTAAAATAAAAGAATTATTTTATGACAAGAAATAGCATTAACTATTAAAACCCTTTTTCAAAAATATAGAATATGCATATATAAACACAGTTAAAATTTTCCTATAAAGTAGGCATTTAATGACTTCAAGCAATTCTGAGTTGATATTTCAAAATGAAATTGTGGTGTCCCTTTACATATCAATGTGCTCTTCTTTCTAATGATTTTTTATTATAAAAGGAGTAGATAATTTGGTAATGATAATGATTTCTACATTCGCTGCTTAGGTGTAGAAGGACCAGTATCTTAGTATTTAAAGGATATTTTATTAAGTAACTGTATTTTTTTAAACTCTGCATTTTGATGTAATTAAAATGAGTTGTTATTGTCATGTGTTGTTGACTCAGCACTAACCTACAGCAGACACTCCAGGGGGTTTTCAGAAGCTGAAAAATCACACCGGAAGAGACTGAGCATCTTTCTCTTCTGTAGCAGGTGGTGGATTTGAACTGCCTGCCTTTGGGTTGACAGCACAGTTACAGGAAAAAAAAGGGGGGGGGAAGTAGATAAACAGAGGCCTAAATATATCAAGCCTAATATATCTTATAGTAAACTTGAAATTTAGCTCAATTCTCTTTTCAGAGTGTGCTTGTAGCTACAGCTTGTAATGTAGATCGCAGTGCCACATCTATTTGACAATTATGCTTTCCCTGGTACGGAACACTATCAAAGAAAGACCTTTTCAAAAGTCTCTTCAATCTAAGAACAGGTATTTCATCTCTGATTCTGCACAAGTGGAGTCATTCCAAAGTCTGGAATAAGAGAAGTAGAGCAAAAGATGGATGGTATGTTGTTGTTATGTGCTTTCGAGTCACCTGCAACTCCTAGCGACCCTATGTACAACATCCCTAAACCCTGCTCCGTCCTGTGCCAATCTCACTGTTTCCAACACACCTACCCCACTACTCCAGACACTGAATCAATCCATTTCATTGAGGGTCTTCCTTTCCTGCACTGCGCCTCCACCTTCCCAAGCATAAGGCCTCTCCAAGGTCTGGTCCCTCTTTGCAACATGCCCATAGTATGCCAGATGAAGCTTCAGAATCATTTGCCTCCAAGAGCAGTCTGGTTTAACCCTCACTAGGACGAACCTGTTTTTTCGCTTAGTAGTCCATGGTATATTCAATACTCTTCTCCAGCACCACAGCTCAAAGACATCAATTCTCTTTCTATCATCCCTAGTCATTGCCCAGCTCTCTGATGCATAGCAAATGATTGCAAAAACCATGGCCTGTATCAGGCATACCTGTCTCCAGACTGACATAGTTCTCCAGTACTTTGGAGAGGTCTCTAACCCCACACTTTCCCATCACAATACGACTTTTAATTTCCTGGCTGCTGGTGCCAAAAGTATTGATTGTGAAGCCAAGCAAACTAAAACTGTTAATAATCTCAATCTCTTCACCATCTATCATGATGCTGCATATTTTAACTCCTTCATAAGAGTCCAAAATTTTCTATAGTTAGTGGGGCTTCCATCCTCTTTAAAGCACATTTTCCAATTTTTATTTTTACTTAAACCATTCTTAGTGTAGTAGTTTAATGTACTAGTTTTCAGAATAAGCCTTCACAACCCCAAAAACATGAACTATTGGTAAATCTTATCTAAATGTGGATACCTATATGCTTACTAAAATTGAAATAAGACAAATTAAGATACTGACGAGATTTATAATATGTCCAATCCAAAAGTGATACATGGAAAAATAAAGCAATACATTTATTTTCTCAATTTGGGGAAAATCCCTGACAGTTAATGGTTCGCTGATTTACAGTAAAATATGTATAAAGCAATAGTCTTATTGCAAAAATAAGTATAGAATTAGTAGTATCTTTCTCATTCTGAATGTTACAATAGATATGGTGGTGGTGGTTGTCATTAGGTGCTATTGAGTTGAGTACAACTCACAACAACCCTATGAACAGCAGATCTGAACCCTGCGCTATCCTCTGCTATCTTCTTGATCTCTGATACAGTTGACTTCATTGCTGCACTCACTGTGACAGTCCACCTCACAGAAGGACTTCCTCTCTTTCACTGACCCTCCAGCTTTCCAAGCATGAAAGTCTTTCCCAAAGAACAACCCGTCTTAGCCATGTGTCCAAAATGTGTGAAATGAAGTTCTACCATCCTTGCCTCTAAGTAACACTCTGGCTGCACTTTTTCCAGGACATATCTGTTTGATTTTTTTGATGGTCCATGTGGTATTCAGCACTCTTTTCCCACACCACAACTCAAAGGCATCAGTTCTTCTACTGTTCTTATTCAAATGCTTAACAAGTGATTGAAAAGACCATGGCCTGAATCAGACATGAAAGCCATGATAGATAAATACTGTGTATAGTTCTTGACAAAATTATATTTTTAAGTTTTATAGTCTCATTAAATATCTTTAAATTAGTTGTGTATAACCTTAATGAAAATAACAGCAAAACCAAATGTTTTCTGATATTTTTAACATTTATAGAAAAACCACCTTTCTGCTTTTTTGCAAAAGACCCTGGAATTTGCCGAGGTTACCTCCACAGGTACTTCTATAACAGTCAATCTAAAGAATGTGAGTCTTTCACGTACGGTGGGTGTCTAGGCAATCTAAACAACTTTGAGACATTTGAAGAGTGCATGAATACCTGTAAGGATGCAGGTAAATATTTTTTTTTCTCCCTCCTTTTACCTACATTCTGTTTCGGCCATTCTTTTAAAAATATTTTGCACAGTGGTCAGATTTACTAAAATTTTATTTCAGCTCTGCAAAGATAAATTATCAGAAGTAAATGATCCCATATATTAAAGACAAAAAAAGCAGAAAATAGAGACAAGTAATGAATCATACTAAATTTTTTAATTTCTTTCTTTTTTAATTTATTTTCCTTTCTAATAACATTTCTATACAATTTAGACCACATGATAGCCAATTGTTACTCAGAATCTATCTCTTAAATTATAGCAGTAAATTTTATCTGCACATGATGTTTATTAAGGGAAAGATATAAACTGTAACAGTTGAGTTTTAAACAAGAACTGCATGATTATTAATATGTTGAGTAATATACCAATTCCTCGTTTTCTTCTTCCTCAAAACTCCTTCTCTTCCTCTCTCTCTCTCTCTCTCACACACACACACACACACACACACACACCCTACTGCCTTATAGCATTTTGACACTCTGATTCATAGCAACTTTGCAACCTTTTAGGACTGAGCAGAGGTGTCATATAAACCCGGTCAATTAATGTCTAACATATGAGGCTGCTGTGAGGTCAGCAGCTCCAGTGTACCTCAGTTTCTCTCAGGGAAATTTCATTGAGAGAAAGATGGCCATTTTATCCCTATAAAAATGTACAGCTTCAGAAACCTGATGGAGAGCCACTATTAATCAAAATGGACTTAAGTACAGTGACTATTTACACACACACACACCCCGCTTCTTAATGAATTCGCCTCTTTGTCAATGACTAGTAGTCTATAGAGGGTTGGATGTATTTTCAGGCTCTCTAAGTTAGTCCTTTGTTCAATGTACTTCTCATTTTACCAGTATCATAATATCATCATTACAGTGACCGAGCAGCAGGTTCTGAAATCAGGGAATGCCATTCTTCCTACTTTTGTTTTTCTTCCTTGTTACCTCTTTGCTTATCCAAGATCTCTTTCCTTTCCATATGACTTTGATGGTTGCTGTTTTCATGTCTTTGAGAAATGATGATTATATCTAGATATATATTTAATTTGTAGATTGTTTTTTATGATATATCCACTTTCAAAATACTAAATCTTTCTATCCAAGAAGATGGTATATTTTTCATTTGTATAGATTTTTGGTTTTTTTTTGTAATAGTGCTATGTTTTATAGTTTTCTCTGTAATGTTTTGTATCTCTGGTCATATTTATTCTTAAATGTTTTATCATATTGTGGTGGTTATTGTGTGCCATCGAGTCTCTTGTGACTCATAGCAACCTTATATATTTGCAACATGTCAAAAGTATGTGAGCTGGAGCTTCAAAATCGTTGCCTCCAAGGAGCAGCTTAGTTTTACTCTTCAGACTAATATCATTACTCTTCAATACTCTGGGGAGGTCTCTGACTGCAGATTCTCTCAGTGCAATTGCCTTTTGATTTCCTGGCTGCTGGTTCCAAGAGTGTTGACTGTGAAGCTAAGTAAGCTGAAGCTGTTAAAAATCTCAATCTCTTCACCATCCTTCATTATGCTGCCACTTAGCCCAAGGGTGATAATATTTCTTGTGTTGAGCTTCAATCAATATATAAGGCTGCAGGCCCTAATTTTCTGCAGCAAATGCCTCAGATCCTCCTGAGTTTCATCAAGCAAGGTTGTGTCATCTGCATAACTCATGTTGATGATGAGTCTTCATCCAATCCTGATACCACATTCCTCCTCATAAAGCCCAATCTCCTAGGTGATCTTTTCTGCATATAGATTGCAAAGGTATGGAGATAGGATGCATCCCTGGCATACACTTTTCCTGATTTTCAACCTTGCAGTCTTTCCTTGATCTATTCTGATGACTGCTTCATGGTGACTATTACAAATGGCATTTCCCCCCACCCCTTGTTTTCGACTTAGAGTTCTCTTTGCTATTATAAAGAAATCCAGCTGAAATTTGTGTATTGATCTTGTACTCAACCACTTTACTAACTTGAGAAATTAAGGTTCTTTCTCTCTTTCACTACCTTCCACTTTCTTAGCATAATGTCCTTTGCCAAGAAATATCCCCTTCTAGCAACATGCACAATGTATGTGAGATAAAGCTTCACCATCCTTGCCTCTAAGGAATACCTGGTAGCCCTTTCTCCAACATATACTGCTTTGCTCTTTGAACAATCCATTGAAATATTTGATACTCTTCTCCAGCACCACAACTCACAGGTATCCTTTTTTCTCCCCTGTCATCCTTATTCATTGTCCAGCTCTCACATGCATAGCAAGTGATTGAAAAGACCATAGGGCACCTTAGTCTCCAAATGGTATGATGTACTTGGAAGAGGTCCCAGGAGCAGACTTCCCCAGCACAATACTTCTTTCAATTTCTTGACTTCTGGTACCAAGGGTGTTAATTGTGGATCCAATTAAGACTGTGTTGTTGACAATTTCAATCTTTTCTCCACTTATCATGATGTTGACTATAAGCCTATTTGTGAGGCTTTATTTTTTAACTGATATTGAAATGTGATCCATATTGAAGGTTGTAGTCTTTGATCTTTTCCAACAAATGTTTCAAGTCCTCCTAACTTTCAGGAAGCAAGGTTGTGTCTTTTACAAAATGGAGATTGTTGATAAGTCTTCTTCCAATTCTGATGCTATCTTCTTTTTCATATAATCCAACTTCTCGTAGTATTGATTCAGCATTCAGTTTGAATAGGTATGGAGAAAGGACAAAAGATCGAATAATCCTCAAATAGAGATCATTTCACTTTCTTTTGGAAAATCTGCATGTCTTTCATGCATTTTCTTTACTTATTGCTCTGGGTAGAAATTCCAATAGTGTTTAATAGGAGTAGTGATAGAAGGTAAATTTATCTGACTCTTATTTGTAGGAAGTGCCTTCAGATTTTCCTGTTGCGAATAAAATTTGCAGATTTTGTAAACATTCTTTTAATTACTAGAAATTGTCCTATACCCCTAATTTGTTAAGTCTTCATCAGAATAAGATGTTGAATTTTATCAAAAACCTTTTCTGTCTCAGTTAATTTTTTCTTTGATTTATTGTTGTATTAAATTACATTTTTTAAATGTTGAACTATCCTTGTATTCCTGGTATGAATCCACTTAACCATGATGAATGATATTTTTTATGTGATGTTACATTATTTGAATGAAATTGACTAAGATTTTCTGCATCCATACCCATTAAGGATATAGGTCTATAATATTTTCTACTTTTAGTTATGTCTTTGTCTGGCTTTAATATTCAAATTATGCTTGCTTTATGGAATGAATTTTGAAATATACCATCCCCTTCTATATTCTCAAATAGTTTGAGTGGAATTTGTGTCAACTCTTCTCTGAATGTTTGCTATAATTCTCCAGTGATGTGCCATTTGGACTAGATTTTTTTTTTTGAGGGGGAGTGTTTTTATGACATGTTCAATTTCTTTGTAGTGTGTCTGTTTATCTATTTTGTTTGTGTTCATTAAGGCAGATAGTACTATTTTTAGATTTTGTCCATCTGCTCCAAGTTTTCAAGTATACTAGTCAACAGTTCTTCGTAGTTTTCTGTTATTATCCTTTTTATTTGAGCTGATTCTGCTATGATGTCACTATTTGAATTGATTGTGTCTGTTTTTTTCTTTGTTAAATTTATCAAGGATTTATCTATTTATTAATTTTATAAAAACCAGTATCTAGTCTTGTTTAATCTTTATATTGTTTTTCATTTTCATTTCCATTTGTTCTTTATTATTTCCTTTCTTATGGAGACTTTATGCACTGTTCTTTTCCCAATTGCTTGATATTCTGGGTTAAAGTGTTGGTTTTAAGGTATGTGTTTATTACCATAAATTGACCTTGGAACACTGCTTTCACTGTGTCCCAAAGATTTTGGTATGCTGTATTTTCATTCTTACTTGCTTCAAGCAATTTCTTTATTTTTTTCCTTCTCTTACCCAATGAGAGAACTCTGTTGGCTTAGTGGTAAGGAATTATGCTGCCAACCCAAAGGTACATGGTTCATATCCACCAGCTGCTCCACAGAAGAAGATGGACTGTGTCTTTCCATGCTATTTATTGCTTCTGAAAACTACTGGAGGGTCAGCTTTGAGTCAGTTGTAATTCAATGGCATACAATAGCAATACCCAATAATGTTCAAGCAGGTGTTAGTTTTCATGCACTTTATTTATTCCTGTTTATCTTCTTATTGATTTCTTATTTAATAGCACTGTGATCTGATAAGGTGCTTTGTAATATTTTATTGTTTGTCAATTTATTGAGGCTTGCTTTGTGACCTAACTTGTAGTACATTTTCTTGGGACTGTTTCATGTGCCCTAGAGAAGATCATACAATGACTTTTGTTGGGTGGAATGTTCTCTATATGTCTATGAGAGCCACTTGATTATTGTATTATGTAGTTTTTCTGTATCTTTTTGTAGTTTCTTTCTACCTATTCTGTCCTTCATTAGGATATTGAAGTACCTATTACTGCTCTGGTAGACTAATGGTAAGGAGTTTCTCTGCCAACCCAAAGGCACAATGTTGAAAAATGCCCGCTGTTTTGTGGGAGTCAGATGTGTTGTCTCCTCCCATGCAAATTAGATCCTTTGAAAACTCACTGGAGAGTCAGTTATGAGTTGGTTCCATCTTGACAGCACATAATAACTATTATATCAGAGTTGTAGATTTATACCTTCAAATCGGTTGTAGCTTTTTGTAATTTACAGCACTCTCACTGAATGAATAAATATTAATTAAAGTTATGCTCTTTTGTTCGATAGATGTTTTGATCAGTATGTAATGTTCTTCCTTACCTCTTATGTTAGTTTTTGTCTTCCAATCTATTTTATCAGGAATTGATACTGCCACTCCTGCTTTTTTTGATTACTGTTTGCTTGATACATTTTTTCCCATCATTTGACTTTTAATCTACATTTGTCTTTGTGTCTAATATATGTCTCTTGTTGATTGATTTATTATTGATTGTTGATTGTTATTATTGATTGATCATATTTTTTTATCAATTGTGCTAATCTTTTTTCTCTTGACTGGTGTGTTTAGACCATTCAAAGTCAGAATAATTACCACTAAAAAATGATTTATTTTTTCTTTCTTATAATATTTTTTTCTCATTTTACACTGGTTTACCTACAAAGTTCGTATACATTGTCCCTCACACCTGGATCCTCCCACCTTCCCCACTCACCACCCCCTCCACCCATCAAACCATGTAACCCCATGATTACCTTCCTTCCCATTTCTACCCTTCTGTTCCCCATCCCTGGATCCTCATACACATTTTACTAGTTATTAGTCTTTACAATTATGGTCTTACACAACATTTGTCCTTATGTGACTGAGTTGGTTCACTTAGCATAATGCTGTCCAGTCCCTCCAAAGTTAGGTAGTGATTGACAAAATCATTGCTCCTGCGTGCTGCATAGTTTTCCATCATGTGAATGTGCCATAATTTCTCAATCTGTTTGATTATGGTTGGATATTTGGGCTGTTTCCATGTTCTTGCAAAGATGAATAACGCTGCTATGAACATTGGTATACAAGTCTCCATTTGAACCTCAGTTCTCATCTCTTAGGGTATATTCGAAGCAGTGGAATAGCTGGGTTATATGGAATTTCTATGTTCAGCTTTCTGAGGAAATGCCAAACTGTTTTCCAGAGTGGTTGTACATTTTACAATCCCACCAACAGTGGGATTATACACCAACAGTGTATAAGAGTTTCTATTTTGCCACTTTCTCTCCAACATTTATTTCTTGCTGTCCTGTTAAACTTTGCCCTTGTGCTGTTGCTGTGAGTCTCGACACAATCAATAGCAACAACAACTGGAGTAAGATGGTATCTCCTTGTGGTTTTTATTTGCATCTCTCTTATTGCCAGTGGTTTGGAGCATTTCTTCATGTATGTGTCTATTGACTATCTGAATATCTTTCTCTGAAAATTATTTGCTGGGATCAAGCTTAGATAGCCTACTCTAGGATATTAGAAAACTGCCAAATACAGCCAGAAATACACAATCTGGAGAAGAAAAAACTGATGAATGGGACCTTCTAAAGATTAAATCCCTGTGCACATCAAAATTTTTTTCCAGCAGAGTGAAAAGAAAACCTACTAATTGGGGAAAAAATATTTGGCAATACAGTTTCAGACAAGAGTCTATATCAAAAGTTTACAAAAATCCACAAGAAAAAGATTGATAACAAAATTACAAAATGGGCAATAAATATAATCTAATACTGTCATTTTACCACATTTTTGTAGTGTTACTAATATCGCTAGTCCATCTTCTTTCTGTGCTAACTTTATTTTGCTTCTGACTATTGGTATTGTTTTATTTGTCATTATTATTTTATAATAAAATTTTATTGTTTTTTCTTTTTAAAGTTTTGATGATAACTTTATTATAACTGATTTTCTTGGATATTCCCTGTAACTTATTTCATTCCCAAATCTTAGATGTTTCACTTTATTTTGAAATATATTTTTTTCCTTATTATTAATGTTATGCTTAGCTTCAAATGTACAGGTAAGAAATTGTGACAGTATTTTCCTGTTTTAGCTAACGTTACTATATTTCTTTCCCTCCAGATAATGAGGTGAAAACTCCACCTTATAAAAAGAATATGGACTCTTTCAATCTCCAACCAACCAGAAGTCTCAGTCCTGTTGGTAAGATCTTTTTATAGTTGCCAGTAATATACTATTACAGAATCAATTGCTAGAAATATTTTTTTTATATTTGTGTTATTTAATAATGAATATAGTGGCATGTTGAGAATGAAAATGTTCTAGACATGAGTAATAATTTTCTGAGTCTAGGCTAACGTATATTTTGGAGTAACTTTTATATCACATGCCAAATGAAACTCTTTAATGTGATATTTATAGTTTTATACCAATTTATCTGATAAAAAATTTGCTAAGAAATTACCAGTCTCTGTGTGTGGAAAACAAGTCATTTGGAATGGTAGTAGTGTGTCAAAGACTTTTAAATTGAGTGCTTTTTAATTGAGCTTTTATCAACTCAAGATCTCTGATGTTAGTCCCCCATCAGAATTGGTTAAATAATCATATCCAAAATGTAGTAACTTTTAAAGGAATTTTCACTTGGAATTCTGCAAGATTGGATTTTATCTTAGCTCTTCTGGGTTTGTGTGTTTGTGTGTGTGTGTGTGTGCGTGTGTGAGAGAGAGAGAGAGATCAGACTTTTAAAAAAATATAGGTTGGTAACATCAGATCTAAAAAATGTATTGGCATTCTGCCCACCAAATGATGAGTTGAGAAAATTCCATAAACCATAATCAGAAGCCACATATTTCTGAACTATTAGAAGCAATCTAAAAATTGAAAATTATCAGGGCAGATGGTCCTGATACAGAATATCTTACGTTCTCAAAAAAATTTACGTGTTTTCATTTAGAAATTGGAAATTTCCTTCAGAAGCACTCCAACTGAAAAGTCAAATATGATTCAGGTGTGGGTTTAAAGAGTTGCTGTGGTTATGAAAATGGGAAATTTAGGATAAAAGGAAACAGTGTCTGGATCAGGGGCTCTCTTCCTGGCCTTGCACCAGAGTTCTATGGCTTTTTGAATCATAATAGCCATAGGCATCTGCCTTTACAACAAACCCACAAACAGGCAAGCCGAAAGCCACAAAGCTTCTGCCCAGATGGAGTTGAGCGCTGTGTATGCTCACAGTGGCTTATCTTCAGTGAAGATGTGTCTACCCAGTTTGGTTTCACACAGACCTAACTATGATAAGTGGCACTTGATTCAACCCAGAGCCCTTCATTTCAGAAACCACAAAAAGATTTGAACACATGTTTACTGAAGTAAAATAAAGTGCAAGACCTGAAATCTAAGAGGGAAAGTTATTTTGGCTGTCATGCCAGTGTAAGTACTGGAACGAACATGCCTTGCACTTCAGTCCTCCTCACCCTCGTTTCTCAGCATAAACTCAAGTCTTCCTAAATTCTCTTAGCCCAGTTTTAATGGGACACACAACATAACACACAGTACAAACCAGGTAAAATAGTAGGAAGGGAGGGATACTTGGAACCTAAAACGCATATATAGGTAGAAAGATGGATGTTTCAAAAAGCAAAGCATACCAGAGGCATGTTTATCTGTGTTTCATTGACTATGCAAAGGCATTTGACTGTGTGGATCACAACAAATTGTGGCTAATCTAGAAGAAAATGGGAACCCCAGAACACTTGATTGTACTTGGACGAAACCTACACTTGAACTTTGGCTTGGCTTCTCAGTGCTCTAGTGCAATATTCAGAGTTTCTTCTGACATCCATCTTGGGATTTTCTTTCTCCTCTGACGTCGTAATACATGATATTCTTGATATCTTCCCACACTTCATCTTATCTTCACTCATTAGTATTCAAGGTCTCCAACCTGTACCTAAGATGGTTTTGAAATTCAGGTGGGATAGACTCAAAGTCAACTTTTTGTTCCCATGTATTTGATTTAAATTTCCTTAGCTTCAGCTTGAACTTGCATATTAGCTGATGCTCTGTTCCACAATCAGCACCTGGCTTAGTTTTCACAGTTGCTATTGAGCTTCTCCAGGGATTCTTTCCATAAATGTAATCAATATGATTCTTATGCATACCATCAGGTAAAATCCATGTGTATGGCCTGTGTGTTTGTTTCTTATAAAATGTATTTGCAATGAATAAGTTGTTGATTGTGCAAAATCCTATCATTCTAGCTCCAGTTCATTTCTTTCACCAAGTCTATGTTTTCCAACTACTGATCCTTCTTCTCTGATCCCAACTTTTGCATTCCAGTCACCCATTATTATGCATCTTGATTGCATGTTCAATTCATCAATCTGGAGAACAAACTCCTGGACAACTGATTGGAAGAGATCTATATTTCTTCACATTCAAAAGAAAGGTGACCCAACAGACTGCAGAAAATTATTGAACAATATCATTGATATCACATACAAGCAATATTCTGCTGAAGATTATCTAAAACTGACACATCAACAGAAAACTGCTTGAAGAGCAGGCTGGGTTTAGAAGAGGCCATGGTACTAGGGATATTATAACTAATGTTAGATGGATCTTGGCTGAAAGCAGGGAGTAGCAGAGGAATTTCGATCTGTGTTTCATTGACTGTGCAAAGATGCTTGACTCTGTATCACAATAAACTGTGGCTAACTCTCAGGAGAATGGAAATCCTAGAATACTTGATTGTGCTTATTCAAAACCCATACTTGGACCAGAAAGGAGTCATCAAAACATAGAAAGGAAACACTGTATGGTTCAAAATTGGGAAGGGTGTACACCAGGGATGTGTCCTATCTCCATATCTTTTCAATCGATATGAAGAACATATTTCCTGGAACACAGGGGTTGGAGGAAGACTCATCAACAATCTGCATTATGCAGATGACACAACTCTACTTGCTGAAACTGAGGAGGACCTGAAGCACATGCTGTAGAAGGTTAAGGACTGCAGTCTTCAATATAGAATGAAGCTCAACATCAAGATTACAAAGTTTCTCATCATGGGCCAATGGGCAGCATCATGATAGATAATGAAGAGATTGAGATTGTTAACAGATATAGTTTGCTTGGCTCCACAATTAACACTCTTGGTATTGCACAATCAGCATTCTTGGTATTGGTATAAGCAGCCAGGGAATTAAAAGGTAACCTCTCCAAAGTACTGAAGAGCAATGATGTCAGTCTGAAGGCTAAGTAAGATACACTTGATCTAGGCTATAGTCTTTGCAATTACTTGCTATGCATCAGAGAGCTGGACAATGGTGCTGGAGAAGAGTAACAAAGAGGTTTATCCTAGAGAGAGTGAAATCAGGCTGCTCCTTGGAGGCAAGCATTGTGAAGCTTCATCTGACATACTTTGAACATGTTGCAAAGAGGTACCAGTCTTTGGAGAAGAATGTCATGGTTGGGAGGGTGGAGGGTGGAGGAAACATAGACTATTGTGGAGATTGATTTTGGAATTTAGATGCACTGTTATCAATTGTGCTTAGCCATACATATTCATATCCTTGAAGATGTATCATGGAAGTGTTGCAGCC